AATTTTTATTTTGCCAGATTACGAGGACGTATTTGTGCGCAGGGAGGTGGTGCGTGTGTTGAGGAGGAGCGCGTGGTGAGGGATGCGTCGGTGGTGGTGAGGCCCAATGCGGGGAATGGAGGGGACGCGGAAAGCTGCAGGAATTTTCCCGTTTCAGTTGAGGTCAAAAATAACATTGCGGAGGCGGGTGCTAATGAAGAACTTTAAAATGTCCCGCCTGCTCTCTGTTGTGGGAACGTGGAGTAGGTCTGCAGCTGATGATATTGAGTGCTTGGGCTGCGTGGCCTTTCTGATTGGCGACGTCTCCGAAGCGGTAGCTCGCAAGATGAAGCACCTTCCCCGCAGCGAGGGAGAAACGCGGGCCAGCGTGTTGGCGGACGGGCATGCGGTGGGCCGCTTTCCAAGGCCCCCCTGCGTGGTTGGGTGCATGGCAGGTGGAGATAATAGAAGAGTAATAATCCAGACTGATCTTCAAGCCGGCGTTCTGTATATGCTCAACAAGTGTTTTTTCCCCTTGCTGGACGCGTTCTACGTGGTCGGGGTGCAGCTAACAGAAACTGCCAAGAAAAAAATAAAATTTGGGCGGTCCCGAAATGCTGGCGCCGATGGGCACAGCGGTGCGGAGAAAGAAGTGACGTTCAATCGGGCTGCAGGTGGCAAAACACAACACCCACCACACTGCTGCCGGTAAGGTGGCTGCGTTTCTGAATTACATGACGTGCAACTTCAAGGGCTGGGAGGCGCTGAGGGAAAAGATGAAGTGGGAGATCATTTACATTCAGCACGCTGAGAGCACGCCAATGACTGGCAGGCGGGATTGCCATATCACGGAGGGAGAAAAGGAAATGCTAAGAGTTCAGGTTGCCAGCGACTTTTGGGAGAGAAGAGTGGAGCAGTACCAGGTGCAGCTTGACGCGGAGATGGCTGCCCAGCTGGTTGTTGCTGCCAGCAAAGGCCACTCAGGATAAGTGACAGGGACGTGGGGTGTGTTTGGGACTCCTCCGCCCTGCTTGTGTGTTGAGTTACATGGTGTTGTATGGGTTTGTGTCGTTTCAAGACATTCTTTTAGTGCGTTTCTTTCTTGGTGGGGAAGGAAGGGCGGCGGCATGGCTGGGAGTGGGGGAGAGGCGAGTTGTATTATTATTGTGGTTGGTGTAGTGGGCGGAGTGGCGGCTTCCTCGTGTGTCTTGCAGCGGGGGTGGGGTGCTTTGCTGAGAGAAGGCGGTGGGGGGAGTGTGCCACCCGCTAAGGCTGAGCAGACGACAAAAGGTTTTGTGTGGTTCCTCTGCTTGTTTTGCGGATGACGTGATTTTTAGCTTTCAGCGATGCCGCGTTGGGGAGCAGCGCGAGTGTTTTTTATTTTGAGTTCTTCCACGCCACACACACCCACTGCAACTGATGGTAATAATGACACCCTCCAATGCGGAAGGGAGTTGGGTGGTTGCGGGGCCCACCGAGCTAAACTGCGATCCCCCATTGTGCGACCTTCGCTTTTTAGGAGTGGGAGCCATATGGCCTCATCCGGAGGCATATTTTATAATTTTTTATTTTTTTGCTTTCATGACATTTTCCGTGAGTCTTTTTGGTCGATTCTTTGCGGCGGTGGGTGCGGTGGGGTCGATCGCCTTTTCGGGTGCTGGGAATTATTCTTTTCGTTGGGATTGGACATGCAGCCGTGGTGCGGCGAGGGCGCATTTCACGGAGTGGTGAAGACGTCCCCCGGTGGCAGAGGGGAGGTGTGGCGGCGAGGTGTGTTTCTCGGCGCACCTATCGGTGAGAAACTGGCAGATGAAATAAAATAACAGCCGGCAACGAACATGGGGATGGAGGAAGGGAGTATGTGTATATATAATATATACACGTATTGGTGGAGCTTCCGGATTTCCGTTTGCCAAAGGAACTGGCAACGCGGCCTGTGGTCGCAATCATACGGGCAGGATCTCTCTGTCGGCAAGGCACTGCCCCAACACAAGCGGCTGTCTGCAGCAGGCTGGCACCGGCGACGGTTGTGTGCACTGCACGCAAGACCCTAAATGGGGCACACCACCGAGGCCGCTGTATTGTTTCAGAAGGAATAGTACCCCTGCACATGTGGGTTGGAAGTGCGGGGTGTTGTGGGTGTTGACGGTGGAGGGCGGTTGGGCCGCACATTGCTGCGGCGGCGCCGGCACAGTGAGGCAGTTCGGTGAGTGCACGGCGAGGTATATTTAATAAAATGGGGAAACTTTCGTTGACGAGTTGTTGCGGGGAAATTATTTACGTGCGGCACGCTGCGAGTGCGCCAAATAACACACGTGGCGGGTGTGTGACACCGTCGCGCCCCGAGTTGCTGCTCAGCGTAAAGAGGAGGAGAACACGGTGTATTTTTGGCACCGGAAGGTGCGTCAGTGCCGGTTGGCGACGTATGGAGGCGTACGTGCCGTGCGTGGTGGTTGAAGTGGTTTCTTGTTTTTCACTCAGCCTTTTTTGAGGTGCTTCACTTCCACGAGCACCGCGGTGCGGCTGGGAGGCGGGCGATTGCGTTTGGGTTTGTCGGTAGCGGTGTCGCTGCGAGAGTTTGTTTTTGTGACCGCAGAGGGAAGGCATCTGCTGCGTGTGTCTTGTAGTGGTGGTGCTGTGTGCCCGTTTATTTTGTATTGCTTTTATTGTTCTTTCAATTTCATTTTTGACGTTGCGCCCCACTCCTTCTGCAGTGCGCTAAGGGAAGTGGGGGGCGTTGGGGGTTTTGTGGGGGCCGTGATGGGAGGTCCCGCCGGCATGTGCACTGCGTGTTGCTGCTGGCGGGGTTTGAAGGGACTGGGCGGGGGAGACGGTAATCGAGGCGCTTATGAATTTTTTTTATTGTTTTTGATTTATGTGGGAGGCGTCCCACACTGCGGACTCTCCGTGCGGGTGCGTGTGGGTGTTTCTTCGGGCGGCGGCGAGTGTGTGATCGTGCAGCCCACGCGTTTGTCGGTGCGGCCTCAGTTGTGGGCTGCCGCTGTTTTTTGCGGTGTGCCCAACTGGGGGCGCCGGCGTTGACTATCGTTGTATTCCTTTTTTTGTTTTTTTTCCTGTGGAAAAGGTCTGCGCCACCACTACTACTGCT